AGAAAACTAAATAAAATAATATAAATCATAGAGATACAAGCAATAAAGTTATAAATAGAAAAGGAGATAGGTAATAGGAAGGATGAGAAGAATAATTGTAATACAGCTTAGTAAATAGTTTATTGAAAAATACATTTAATTTTAATAGTTTGATTGTAAAATATTTTACAGATATATCTTCTGCTGTTGAAAGCATTTCGTTAGCCAAACAGAAACAAAATATGCATTTCCTGGTTTTTATAGAATTTGGAAAGAAACATTTTCTGAGATAGGATTACAGATCAGAGAGAGAGAGAGTAAAGTTGCAAGTGAAGTTGGGAGATTGAGAATGGAGGATAGATGTATTGATAATGATTTCTCCTTATGTGTGAAGGTTAAGTATTGGATAGGTACAAAAGTGAATGTGACTTATTGTCAGTTACTTTGGTTGGGCGAACAAGCAATATTTCTTCCACAGGGTTACCATCTCTTAAGTAGGGCATGTGGATTTTTGTTCTGTATTTTCTCATCCCTATGTAATTTATGTTGCAACAGATGATGGAGCACTTAGCCAGTCTTGGCTGATCTCAGAAAAGATAAATATGATTAGCTCTGGGTGTTGGGTGGGGAGACCACCGATAAATGCCAGAATTGTAGAGTGGCCTGAATACTTAAAAATAAAATCTGGAAGAAGGTAAACTTTATCATGTATGCTTTAGCTTTATTCTTCATTCTCCTCCATTTGCTTTCCAAATAAAAATGAATGTTTTCTGTAATTTTATCAATAAGGCATACACAGGTTGGTCTAGCTGCAGCTTTCTGTTATGTAGTTATTTTTTCTTCTTATCCCACTTAAGAATATACAGATATGACATTGTATATTTGAAAGGCTGGAGCGATTCACCCATACCTCTTTCAGTTGAACACATCATTAATTTGGAAACTCTATGTTCCCCGTAAGTGACCTAAATCTAATAGTGCCAGTATTCTAAGGTGACCTATCCCATAATTCCCTTCCCTGCCACCACCATGTTTGAATTCAAGCATGGTGCATCCAACCTGCCTCTTTCTTCAGCTTTTCAATGTCTTCCTTTAATTCATCTCTTCTTTGCTGTTCTAACATTTCACTGTCCATAACATTGTTTTTTCTGCAGTCCTCACCATGGCATCCATGGAAGAACATCTGCAGTCTGTATTCAAGTGACACCCAGCCCAAATGCTGCAAGTGCTTGTCAGGACAAAACCTGCAATTTTTGATAGGGGGAGAGGCAATCCATCCCTGACTGGCTGCTCTGTGCATGCAACATTTTGTGTATTTTTGTTTACATGCCTAAGTATTTCATTTTATACAAATCATTGGCCTACTGTCATCCATAAATCTAGGTTCTTTTATTTCTGAGTATACCAAAACATACATGCAGTCTTAATTCTGTGCAGGAACCAAAAAAAGTGTGTGTGGGGTTTTTGAAATGAAAGTTATCTTTTGTGAGGTGTAGCTGTGAAGATGTTGGACTGGAATAGTAGAAATATTGGTTTAGGTGTATCAAAGCTGTTACTTTTGTCTTGTAGATTTTTAAAATTCATTTTTCATATTTTTCTTCAGTATCTCTCTTGGAAGAAGGCCTTGTAAGAGATTATTTGCTGTTAATATAGCAGTGTTCTTCAGCAAAGTACTTACCTGGTGACCTTGGGCCAGTCCTTCCCTCTCAGCCCAACCTATCTCATAGGGATAGGTTGTTGTTGTAGGGAAAATAGGTGTTATATATGTTCACTGCCTTGAGTTAATTATAAAGTAATAAATATGGGATAACAATTGTATAAACACAACATTAGTTAAGATGTTCAAAGACAAATCAGCTAAATGCTGGAAGTGCCACCATACACGTAGAACATATTACCATATATCGTGGTCTTGTATAGAAGCTAAAAGATATGGACAAAATTACACACATGGTTGATAAAAATGATAAAACAACACATAGATTTGAAACCTGAAATATTTTTATTAGGAATGGTACCTGAAGGTTACAGTAAAGAAAAAACATATTTAATTATACATGTATTAACAGCAGGCAGAATTGTATTTGCTCAGAATTGGAAAAGTGATAAGATACCAATAGAGGGAAAAGTAATTGAAAAAATATTTGAATGTTCAGAGATGAAAGAAAAAGAAGAAACGGAATATTATATGGTTGGAAAATAAAGCAAATTAAAATGAACTAGATGAATATATAGAGCAATAAGATTGTTAAAAAATAATAGATATATTAAAGAATAGCTATAAGAAAATGTGATTATTGTTATATTGGCAAGAAAAGTATTAATTATAATTGTAAGCATAAGATATATGTACCCAGTTGACACAGTTAAAATGAAATGGAATTATTGTAAAATATAAAATAATTTTTTAAAATAAAAAGTAAAAAATAAACAACAAATAAATAAAATAAATAAATAATGGAACTAAGTTTTAAATTATTTTTTCCCAAATATTTTCAAAGATTTTGAGCAAGGATAGTGATACTTTCTTAGCACACTAGAGGTCAGTGTATAATGAGAGGAACTTATTCAGAGGGAGTTTCAATACAGATTTATTGAGTCAAATCACTCAAAGAAAGCTGTTGCTTTTCTTTTGTAAATTTTTAAATTTCATTTTTAATATTTTTCTTCAGTCTCTCTCTTGGAAGAAGGCCTTGTAAGATGTTCTTTGCTGATAATATTCCAATATTATAGATAATGTTCCAATATCTAAACAGTACTCAATATCTAATATACTAATTTTCCAATATCTAAGAGGCTGTCACAGAGAGGAAGGGGAGTCAATCTATTCTCCAAAGCATCAGAAGGCAGAACAAGAAGCAGTGGATGAAAACTAATCAAGGACAGAACCAATCTAGAACTAAGGAGAAATTTATTGACAGAACAATTAATCAGAAAAATGACTTGCTTCCAGTGATCCAACACTGGAGGTTTTTAAGAAGAGATTGAACAACCATTTGTCTGACATGGTATAGCTTGAGCAGGAGTTGAACTGGAAGATCTCCAAGGTCTCTTCCAACTCGGTTATTCTGTTATAAGTAAAATAAAAAAAAAAACAGAGTACAACTTCAAGTTAAGAATATCATTTGTGAGGCCATTGTTTCAACGTATTTGCCAAATATTATGATCTATGATGTGGCCTAATTTGTGGGTGTGGCTTGGTGGTCATGTGATTGGCTGGGCATGGCTTGTATGTAAATATTATAAATATTTATATAAATATTGAACTTTTGTTAAAAAAAGAGTACCTTTTACCCAAAAATCAGGCAAAGCAGGCAGGCAGATTGAGTTGCTTACAGAATCACAGATTCATTCAGAGATCTATCTATCTGCCATTGATTAGCTCAGTCTGTCACACAAAATTTGCTTGCAAGCAAGCTCATAAAATTTGCTAGCAAGCAAACTCACAAAATTAACTCACAACACACCATGTATGTAAATATTGAATTCTTTATTTTAAAAAAGAGCAACTTTTACCCAAAATCAGGCAAAGCAGGCAGGCAGATTCATTCAGAGATCTATCTATCTGCCATTGACTAGCTCAGTCTGTCACACAAAATTTGCTAGCAAGCAAACTCACAAAATTAACTCACAACACACCATGTATGTAAATATTGATTTTTTTTAATTAAAAAAAGAGCAACTTTTACTCAAAATCAGGCAAAGCAGGCAGGCAGATTGAATTGCTCACAGAATCATTCAGTGACCTATCTGTCTGCCATCAGCTACCTGTGTCTGTCACATAACATTTGCTTGCCGTGAGCCTGCACTGAATAATAGAACCTTCAGTCCTAAGGGAGGTTCGACTGTGCTTAAAAGCAGAGCCGAAGATCTAAAGACTAGCTAGAAAGCAAGAAATCCAACCATTTCCTGCTTCCTAGCTAATCTAAATTTCCCAGCACAGCAGAACAGCTGATGGTCGGAAAAAGGAAAAATAGCAATTTAGCAGGCAAGTTTGCTGAGTAAGGAGTGAGTGGGCGGGGAGGGTTCCCGCGGGCCATGTGGGAGGTGCAGCCTTATGTTTCTGCGCAGCCTGGATTAATTGCTTTGGGGGGTGCTGTGGGGGTGAGATTTCTCTGCAGCCCACCAAAATTTTCTTGTGGCCCACCAGTGGCCCACTGGTTGGCGACTGCTGATCTCTGATATCAGAATCTGTGCACATTGATCTTATCTGGAGTCATCTTCTCTGTTTGAGCTCTACAATCTTAGTTCAGAATTCAGAAAGGTTTGGTTATATATTCATGTTGCTTTTATTAGCATGATCTCATGTTCTCTCAGCATCATACTGTTAATCTTTCAGATTAACTATCTTTCATCACCTTTAACCCTATCTGTTGAGGACTTCAACATCATGCATTGTTCTTTACATTCATAAAATTTCAGATGATGTCGTAAGGTGCTTAAATTGTCTCTTAAAATGTTTTCCTAACATTTGTTAAATCTACTCCTGATTGTCAGGGGTGTCAAACTGGATTTTTTAGAGAGCCAGATCAGCATTGTAGTTCTCCTCTGCGGACTGGCCAGGGGAGATAAGACAGGATGGACGCCTCCTTCAGCGCACTATGCTGGCCAAAATGGAGCATGGTGGGGGTACGCACAGCCCCCACGCACCCGGTTTTCAGCTTGGGCGCTTTTCTGCAGCACTTTGCTGGCCAAAATTGGTTGCAGGATGGCCCATTTTGGCTATCATGGTGCTTGAAGGAGGCATCCATCCTGTGCCACATTTTTGCTAGCAGAGAACCGCAACCGATCCTTTGCTATTTCCAGGTCAGCCCTGTGATCCAGATTTAAAGCACCCCACAGGCCGGATTTGGCCTGCACGCATTGACACCCCTGCCTTACTGTGATCACAAGTGGCTCCATTGTATGATGGGACATTAACAAAGCTTTGCATTAGGCACCCCTTAAGTTCAAACAGGCAATAATTATTTCATTTGACTTGATGGTCCCTTTAATGATCATATCCTTTTTATTTCCTCTAGGGAAAAGTAGTTTCTGACAGAAAAATTCTCCAGAGAGTCGGTGTTGATCAGCTGTGCTCTGGGCAGTCAACTATTAAGGTGAGTTCTTAACAAAGGTGGCTTTTAGAAGCAACAGACCTCAAGAGGTAAGGCTATTTTGTCTATAGCCTTACCTCTTGAATACATCAGGAAGGAAGATTGATTGCTTTATTAATTCAGTTCTTGAACCAAACAGACAGATATAAAAATTGACCTATAGGTCATATAATAACTATGACCATGGAGTACAGGTAGTCCTTGACTTACAACTGGTCACAGTGACTATTCAAAGTTACAATGGATATATTTGGAGGCTATTTATGTCCCAGATATGAAGTTCACATGCCCTCCCACAGTCATGTGGCCGAAGTTTGGGTGGCTTGGCAATATGACCTCATTTTGGGTGTCTGTCCCGCAGTCACATGACCACAGTTTACATTGATTTTGTTGAAAATCTAAATTCCAGTTTTTTGGGGAAACCAGATACCCATGCTAAACCATCGGTTTGCTTAATGACCACAGCATTCACTTAACAAGTGCAGTGGTTCACTTAGCGACTGCTGCCAAAATCATTTTAGTACCTTCATGCCTTATGTCCATGATGGACAGGCTTCATTACAGTTCTAAGCCGAATACTACCTGTATTGATCACATAATGCAAGGTTTTGTCCTACTTCAAACTCACGTGTCACATGACATATTGCAACTTTTTCCCCCTTCACTACATCTGGCCCACGGATTGTGAATTTGATAGCCTTGTCCTACTTTCTTCTCAATAGACTGGATATTTTCACTGCTAATTATTGAATTTATTAGTGGAGCTTCACTAATGAATACAGTAATATGGAAAGGACTATACAGAGTTTTACCCTATAGTATTAGACAGGCTACTAAAGAATGAGTTCTGGCTTTCAGGCAAGGAATCTGAAACATAAAATAGGGTGCGCTTCTATTTTTCTTTATCAGTATAGCATATTTCACAATGAGAAGCAATGGAAGTATTTCCTACAAATTTGCTGTAATGTTAGGGTAGCTACATATAGTAATAATTACAATGTCTCAGCATAACAGTATGTATTTGCTGTATGCTCAATTTGGCCTTGCATTGTTATATAGATTGTTCCCAAATACTTTCAAATTGCATTCAATAAATACAGATAAAGCTGTAACATTGATATCGGAAAAATTCTGAAGTTGTAAGAAAATGGAAAACTTGGAGAAGACCTATAATTAGTTTAAGAGTATTCCACCTAAGAAGACTTAGTTTTCATGTCAAAGCTATCTTTTATGGACCTGTTTCCCATCTGGACAAAAAAATATATGTTACTCATTAAAAACTAATAATTCTGTTCATAATGACCATTAATATTATTGCTGTTGTTGTTTCTACTCATAATACTGATAGCAGTAACTATTGCAAGTTATTGGAGGCATAAAAAATAAAATAAAATGGTTCTCTCTCAGCCCAACTCTTCTTACATGTTGCTGTGGAGAAATAGGAGGAGAAGGAGTATTATGTGTACAGATAGTCCTCAACTTACAACAGTTCATTTAGTGACAGTTCAAAGTTACAAAAGCGCTGAAAAAAGGGACTTGTTCACACTTACAGCTGTGGCAGCAACCCCACAGTCACATGATCAAAATTCAGGTGATTGGCAACTGACACATTTATGACGGTTACACAGTCCCAGGGTCATGTGATCAGCTTTTGCAACCTTCTGACGAGCAAAATCAACGGGGAAGCCAGATTCGCTTAACAACCATGTTATAAAACAAATGCAATGATTCACTTAACATGCGTGGCAAGAAAAGTTGTAAAATGCGGCAAACTCACTTAACAAATGTTTCACTTATCAACATAAATTTTGGGCTTAGTTGTGGTCATAACTTGAGGGCTATCTGTATTTGCCACCTTGATTTATTTTATAAAATAATAAAGGTGGTAAATAAATAAATTTTTGAATGAAATAAGTAAATAAATTAATATATGTATTGGATCAGTCAAAAATTTAAACGGGATATACTTTTTCCACACAACTGTAAAAAGTTGTGTACTGTATGTTAGGCTTTTAGAATATCCTAAAATGTGTGTCGGTAGTCTTGTTTGTGTATGAGAATCAACCTGTTTTCCAAAAAGGATCACCTTCAGAACCTAGTAAGAGCCATGGAATGTTCTTTATTTCTCAGCCTTGGACTTCCCATCCCTTGCGTTTCTCCCTTCCCCAAATTTCTACAGAACAACTGCTGAAAATGACATAGCATCTTAATTCTTACCATGACTGACATGGTAAAAACTAAGAAACTTAAAAAGTAAAAAAACAAGTCAACTGGTTCATGTATTCTTGGCAACAATGAAGAAGAAGTTGGTAGTTGTTTTCTGGATTTTTTTTTCTCTCTTCCAGCTTTAGTATGCAGCTTTTTGTTTCTCGGTGGTCTCTTATTCAAATAGTAAGCAGGTCTGATGATTAACATTTCAAAGGTCATCCAGGGGATGTTGTCTGCTAAGTTTCCCACATACAAGGCAGAAAAATGGCACCCATCTCTTCCCCCAAATCCTGAAAGATGGAAAATCATATCAACCACATCCCTTTTGCCTCATCACAACCTCTGTAAACAGATAAAGTACTCACAGCAAAATCTCCTCTGCCAGACATTCTTGAGGAAACATTGGTTATAGGTTGTGTGCCAAAGCCAAGTCTTGACAAAGAAAGCTGGTTCTGGGCCTAAGTCCAATCTCAAATTAGGCACTGTCTATGATGCCCGTAGGTACCATTTTAAAGCTTCCTGCGCAAGTTTACAATATTAAACCCTCTCCTGAAAGAGATGACGGCATTCTCCTGAATGGGGTGGCAGCTCTGTATATATTGTCTAGGTAGTGTTGGCGAAGTACAAGGTTTTGTGTTCAGTCAGTGGTTAACCCTTCTGGAGAGAAGCTGCTTGAAAGACAATTGTTGGCTATGCGCTTTAACTTCTAGCTCCACAAGTTGCGAACAAGGCAGTCCAAAAATGCCTCTCTGGATCATTTCAAGCTCTCGGGGAAACATGAATGTGCTTATTAGAATTGTTTGTGAATGAGCCAATCGAGATGGCCTGGCCGCGAGGGTACAGGCAGTGTTTTCCTCCTTTCTCTCCTCCACCCTCCTCACACCAAAGGGAGGAGGGGAGAGTGAGGCAGAAGATATAAGCTCAAACAAAGCGAAGCTGTGTCTCTGAATCGCTCACATGCCCTGGATAAGTAAAGCTTGACCCTGAAAGTGAGAGGGTGAAAGAGAGAGAAAGAGAGAGAGAGAAAGAAGTGGAATTATGATCTTAACAATGGAAACGGGTAAGATTTTTACCGGGCGGAGGGGGGGGGAAGGAAGCAAATGTGCTCATTACAATTGCTCTCTTAAGAAAATCCGTGCCTACACCCTAATTAGTGTGTGATTGGCTTAAAGAGTATCTGTGGAGCATGTCATGTGAAATCCTTGTGGGGGACCTTCATCCCTGCAATATGCCATTTTTAATGGAGCTAGAAGTGAGATGGGAGGTATTGGCAGGCAGGCAGGAGCAATCTCTCAGATCAAGCCGTGGGCTCTGATTTATTTCACAGAGAGTCATCTGTGCTAAGCATTGAGAAATTCCAAAGAAGCAGCGTGTGGCATAAGGGAAATTTTAACAGCACGCTGTGAAGTCTGGTGGATGTTGCAAACCCCATGATACAGGTTATTGGGTGGCTATGAAAACTTTTTTTAAAATTTAACCCCGCATACTTTTAAAAAAACAAATAAATGAAGGGGATAGCAACTTGGGTTATTTGTAATAGCAACTTGGGTTACTAGAAACATTTCAAATGACTTCTTCAAAACTATGCAGAGGGTGTGTTGTGAGTAAATGTTGCTCTGGTTAAATGGTCACGAAGAATTCACATTTGCTGGATGGCTGTGAACAAAGGCATAATTTTATGCTTGCTTTAGGAGGGATTCTTCTGAAGATGGCACTTAGACCTAATTAAACTCCTTGGTTCTAATATACTTGTTTTGTTTTCCTTACATTTGCTTACATGGCTATTGTTCTAGCACTCAGTTTTACGGAGTTACTTAAAAATAAGTGCATAATGTTCAGTAGGATAATGGTGGGTAAGGTTGCAATTCTAAGCACAGTTGCTTGGAAGAATGTCTCTCTGAGCTCGGTTTTAAGTAACACTTAGTTTTAAATAATACATTTAAAGATTATTCTGTTAATGTTATGTCATTGTCTTCAAGGAACCTGGAAGTTATGGTAAGAAAGGGAATAGGAATGACTTTTAGTAGCCTCTTCAACATTCACTTTGCGCTTGTCACTCTTGGCCCATCCTACCTGACAAGATTGTTGTGGGGGAAAATGGGATGCTTAATGAGTTCCTGTATAAATGATAATAATATTATTAAGTTTAACAAATTAATAATTATAAATAATGAAGTTGTAGTTCCTAATAATCTTCCCAAGAAGCTATTAATTGCTGGTGATCCATCTTGTACCTAGTTACCTTTACCTCTACAAATTGTATTAATAAATACAAGAAAACAGTACTAGTATAATTGTTGTTATTTCTGTGAAGGTTGAATAAATTAAATTCCCTGACTTGAACTGATTTATCCTGTAGAAACATAGAATTACTGTATGCTTTTTGAAACATCAGTATTCCTTAAACGTTTTACTGCAAAGGATAACAAGTGTCCCTTAAGATGTATATGTATTTTAATTTGGCATGGGTATCTCTGAATTAATCAAAGGAGTTTTCTTTCCTATTCTGCTGTCTGGTTATTTTTTTCCCTTACCAATAATGATTTTAGTGACTAAGCTGCTTCTTAAACTGTGGGGTGCTCTATGCAACACAGTGAATCTTTTCGCCCTGCATTCTAGAGGAAGGGGGAAGAATTAGCCATTTTCTATTAATCTGATGAAGAAGTGACTTAGTAGACATCACTCTGATCCAAAAGTATTAAACTGCTTACTGAAATGATGTAGACCAGATATGCATCTTTTTCTTTCCGAGAGGCATTTTCCTCTTGTTAATCTCTTTCCTGCAATTGACTCTC